GGCAGGATACTAGAAAGACACTCACAGGTCGATTTGAGCAGACTGTTTCCGGTCAGAGGTGTTCGCGGAGCGCTTGTCGAGGAGCTCGAAGATCGTAGTAGGGTCGTTCAGAACTATGGTGTGCTGGCCAAAGATATTGAAGTGTACGATGCTTCCTGAAAAGTAACCGAGCTACGTCGTAGCTAAGGACAAGTATCTAGGGATATACGCACCGTACTTCGCGGCCAGATCTCGATGGCCAATCCACGGCTTGTATGAAGGCGCGTTGAACAGATTGCCGACCACCGGTAATGGCCTTGGTCCCGGGGGCAGGGGACGTCCGCGAGACCGAGTTCGCCGCTCAATCAACGAGCGGACGTAGATACAGACTAGGAATGCGACAGCGAGAAGGAGTACTCCAGGCGCCGTGATCTCTGCCATCGTAGCGGATGACGGATCGGTCGAGAATCGACAGGGTCAGTGTCTTTATACGATGAAGCAGGAAAGCAGATGAGAACCCCGTCGTGAGTCTGACCAGGTCAGTCCACCCGGGTAGACGTCAGTGTGAAGTGGGGATTTGAATTGATTCAGGGCTGGTAGTCAGTTGGATTATAAGCTCGTCGGGACACATCCTCTACCAAGCACTCTGCTATTCGTCAGATGGTCTGCTCCAGCATTGTATGGCACAGGAGCTCACACTATAGGTCAGCAACATGCGGTAGCGTGGATGGTTCTGGGGTCGTGGAGCTCTAGTAGTGCTTCGCGATCTGTGCAAAGTTTGAACTCTGACCGCGCCGAGACCTTCTCTCTCATCAGTAGTGCCTCATACAGGCCAAAACTTCGCACTGACCTACGTACCTCGCACAACAGTCGTGCAAATGTAAACCGCGTGCGTATGGCAGCATCGCACGTACGGAGTCGGGCCCCCGCTTGTTTAGAGGCATTTCCGCTGATGGTGCTGTGGCCACGAGTATCCTTACGTTCAGATCTGAATGTACAATCACGCGTGACCAATTATCATGCAGGACTGATCATTCAACCTGATTAAACGATGATCAGAATCTGGAAAGACACAGTGTTGTATACTTACTAAACGTTAATAGCTGAGGAGCACTCAGGAGCCCGAGGATTGCGCTGGACGCAGCTAGTAGTCTGAAGTAGTGTTTGTGCGGCAAGCTACAGCCAAGCAAATTTGTCAAGCGGTATATTATTCGAGCGAGTAACTCGGAGATCAGCATAGGGACCGCAGCGTGGTGATACTAAAGCATGGTGGTTTGGTTCAAGTGCATCGGCCTCCGACCGTGCCGAGCTCCGATAGCGGCGCTGGCCCATCACGTGAGCGACCGTTCTCGAGCCGAGCGCTCAAAGTAATCCCTCATCGTAGTAGTACTCTTGCTTGAATGCGGCTTTGACACAGGAGTTTGCTACTAACTTCAAGGCGAGGCCAAGACGAATGCACTCTGAATGCTACTGATCTGAGTCTTTACGATCCTGAAGATGTGATCTAGAAGTCCATCATTCTTCAATGGCCTCGGCCTGAGGCGACGGACGTGGCACTGGCATGACGCGCAGGCAGAAAGATGCAGAGTCGGATTGCAGACACAGGTGGTAGAGATCGTGTACAGTGCTTATGAAGGTACGTCGTCCCCCCTCTACCTTCGACTGAATGAACAAATCTCTAGTCTGCCAGGCCAGACTCGTGCCACGAGAGAAGACACGGAAGAGTCGAGGCTCGCACATGAGCACACAGCGAGGTGAAAATAAGAAGTAGCGGAACTACCGCCATCTGGGTGTTGCCTTGCTCCGTGGGATTGAAAGCTGGGAATGGTACGTAAAACGCTGTTTTGTACTTAGCCCATCCACGACCATGCGCAGCTTCTGACGTAGTGCCGGCTGTCGACAATGCTGACCCATCGCCGCCGTAGCTCATGTCCTTCTGCGTCGTGCGACACGTCACTGTCCATCTGCGTCGTACCGTCCCGCTACAACTTCACACCTGAGCAACAACTCAACAGCGGGACATCCGTCGAATGCACTACTCCGAGGACAGGCTCCTTGAATTCGACGAGCACAGGGTCATGTCCATTGTCGCTTACTCCGAACAAAGGGCCTGTTCTGAAGAAACAGGCGAGTACCTGCTCGATAGCCTCGTCTTCTACGCAAAGAGCAGCCCGCACGAGGTCTCGACTCCTGGCGCTGAAGCGTCACAATCTGACTGCCATTTTCCGCATCAAGCTCATACGGGAGCAGACCTGTACGTTCTACGTCACGATTGATAGCCCTTGCCTAGCGGAAGGCGCACGCCGCATTATTCGCGCATGATGCAAGTGCAAGCTTTGCTCCGACCCACGCAAGGGGATCCGATGTTGAAACGTTGACCCGGGGTCGTATGCTATCGTCCATGGGAGAACAACAGCGTTCTGGAGCAGTACTGTACCCGAAAACGCTGTCAATCTGGTCCATGGACGCTTATGGTTAACGCTCAAGCAGTCGCGTTCAGCGTCTTTGATACAAATATAAAGTAGGCTACTATAACTTTCTAGTCGGGTGACGACTCCACTGACAGCCTTTACGTAGACACTGTCATCGATCATCGTTCATGGCTCACAGCAGCATACAGAGAGCGTCAGTACCGTGCACTGTGCAGATGTCGTGATGCATGCGCAGGTTAGACTCGCTTAGTATATGAGTCCCCCACTGATCTCGCAGCTAGCCACTAGCTAGCCCTTTCATAACGTCCGCCATGGATTTCAACAGAAGCTGCTTGCTGTCCATACTCTTCGTGCCCCTCCTTCTCTACCTATGGTCAATTCTTCGATGGAGGGCACGCGCCCGTGGATTACCGCTCCCTCCTGGTCCTATCCCGCTTCCCATTGTGGGCAACATACTCAACGCACCAAGAGTCAGACCTTGGGTCGCATATCGCAATATGAACTCAAACTCGGGTGAGCATGAGATCTCTTTGTGTAGCTTCTATCGTGCTAACGGTCTCGTAGATGGCCTCGTGCATGTACAGATCATGGGACAATCCATAGTCGTTCTCAACAATGCCGACGTAATCGACGAGTATCTGGATAAACGGTCAGCCATCACGTCAGATAGGAAGCAGAGCCACATGGTTGAACTGTGAGTGACTTTCACTCACTATGTACTTACATACCTTCGCTTACGCGCTCTAGCACGGGATCACAGCTCAACCTAGGATTCCACCCTTATGGGACATGGTGGCGAAGGCACAAACGTGTCTTCTGGCAGTACTTCATGCCTTCCGCCGTCAAAGATTATGCATCTATACAACGAACAACTGCACGCAAGTTCCTAAAGCTCCTCTTGGACGATCCTTCCTGTTTCCAACAGCATATCCGATAGTGAGTGCAATACTAAGGCATCGCTGTAGTCAATAGTTTGCTCAACTCGGTTTTGTCTAGCACCTTCTTGGCTGCGATGTTGAAACTACTCTATGACATCGACGCCGCTGAGAAGGAAGACAAATACATCGGGATCATCGACACTGCCCAGGAAGGTGTATCTCAAGGCCTTGTTCCAGGAAGATTCCTCGTTGAGTTCTTCCCGATCCTTCGGTATGTTCCCGCATGGGTTCCCGGAGCCGGGTATCAGAAGATGTTCGCGAAATGGCAGGCGGCTGGCCATGCTCTGAAGACTCTGCCGTTCTGCGCTCTGAAGGCAGCTATGGTGAATCGCCTTGCTTGACGTCTTCCTTACGTCGAGACACTCACTTCGCAACCTTACTTTCCTCAGAGCCGAGGTCAATCACTCCATTGCGTGATCGCTCGTCAACTGGCGACATTGGATGATTCCGGCATCAAGGGTGATGCGCTCAAGGAAGAGGAGGATATCGTTCAGAACGTCGGAGCAGTCGCCTTCGAAGGTATGCCTCGTTCACTCTGTACGATGAGAAGCGCTCCCCTGATGCACGCATCTCCCAGCTGGCTCTGATACAGTAAGTGTACTGGTGCTTCTCCCGAGTTGGTTTCACCGACAATACCTCTCCCTAGACATTCTCCACCCTGCAGACGGTCTTCCTGGCCATGTCCTTACACCCGGAATGCCTCAAGAAGGCGCACGCCGAGCTCGACAAAGTGGTAGGGCCGAGCCGTCTCCCCGACTTCTCTGACCGCGACGGTCTCGTCTACGTCGATGCCATCATCAAGGAAGCATTGCGTTGGCATAACGTGGTTCCTCTTGGTGTTCCGCATTGCTCGACTGTAGACGATGAGTACCGGGGATACTTCATTCCTAAAGGCACGGTGCTAATGCCCAACATATGGCAAGTCTGATATCTACTTGAGCACCGAGAGCGCGGTGGAGCTAACTCAAGTAACAGGGCCTGCATGCATGATCCGGACGTTTACAAGGACCCAGACGAATTCCGCCCTGAACGGTTCATCAAGGATGGTCGGCTTGATGCAACAGTGCGCGATCCAAGCAAGTTCGTATTCGGCTTTGGCAGGAGGTATGTCTACTGGTGTGCCGCCTCGCGCGTTCGGACGTTCACGCATGAATATGCCGCAGGATCTGTCCCGGACGGTACTTTGCGGATGCAGCGCTATTCATTAATGTCGCTTCGGTGCTCCACGTCTTCGACATCACTGCGCCGTTGGACGAAAATGGGCAAACCATCAAGATTAACCCAGGAATGACTGATGGGCTCCTCTCGTGCGTGCTTTATCTACATCTGCCGGAATCCACTTACTCACAATGTTCATATACTAATAGGTATCCTGAGGACGTTCGCTGCCAGACAAAACCTCGGTCAGCGCAGGCGAAAAGGTTGATCATGATCAGTACATGAATCAATAGCGAGACACGCGGGAGAGCATCTGCATACTTACCACCAGACGATATTGTGTTGCTAGTATGCATTTCAAAGCACTTCAATGAGCAGACTCAGCAAGTGAAAGACCCCATCATTGTGTGTTGACTTGTGAGAGAACGAGGAGCTTAGGATAAGATATGTTGCAACAGACAGACGTGACATGTGAAGCGGAAATTGCCTAAAATGGACGTTGAGGGGATTGAACCCTCGACCTCACGCAAGTCACATGACCGGGGTTCGATCCCCGTAAAGTGCAAAGCGTGCGCGCTACCACTGTGCCAAACGCCCTTGAGATAAAGGTCCTCTTGACATGCTATTATGTCATACGGACACATCGGACACGGAGCATCAAGAACTGACTATACAAAAACCTGACAAAAACCAAGCAAGTAGGAGCGGCGATTGGTACAGTCATCAGGCGTCCAGTGGGTCACTATCGCCCAGTGGGTCACCTGCCTTTTTAGGTGAGTTTTGCCCATAAAATGAGCGTTTCAGCCCCAAATTAGCGCGGAGATGGAGCTTTTCGGGCGTTTAGCCCTCAAAACCGTGCCTAAAAAGGCAGGTGACCCAGTGGGCGATAGTGACCCACTGGACGCCTGATGACTGTACTACGGAATGCTACAGTGTATACGATACCAATGGTACAAGAACTCGAAGAATCTACTGCTCAAGAGCGGCAACGATACCATACGCTGCAGCAGCCGCTGCCCCACCGACCATGAGTGTACTGAACGCACCCCACACGTATCCTCCGGCTCCCTGACCTGCACCTGTCACGCGGGCCTTGACAGCGCCAAAGGCGAGAAGCACAAGACCGGTGACGACGCACGAGTAGATTAACGCGATGTGCGCTGTAGGCTCGAAGAAGTAGGGCAGGAGAGGGATGAGACCACCAACGAGGTAGCCCATACCGATGGTGAACGCCGAGGTGTACATGCGCGACGCAGGCACTTCCTCGAGGCCCTCTCCGAATTTGAGGAGGAACGCAGTGAGGCCGACGTTCTCCGCCCACCGGAGCTGTGCGCCTTCCTCCATGGTAAGCGTCGCGTCGCTAGCGGTGCTCGCGCGCTGGCTGCCGGGATGCCTCGCGGGGCCGTCGCCGTCCGAGGAGAACTCGACGTCGCGAAGGCAGGATGCAATCTGCCGCGAGACCTTCTCATCGATGCCGACAGGTCCGAGGACTGCGTGTACTTCGCGCTCCATTTCGCCGTCGCAGGAGCGGAGGACACGCGCGGCAGTAACTTTGCGCAGATAGCGATAGTGGTCGCGTTCGGCTTGAGATGCGAGGAAGCCGCCGATGCCCATGGAGATGGCACCGGCGATGAGCTCGGCAACTCCACCAAGAATGACGAGTTTCGACTCTCCGAGGGACGAAAGACCGGCGGTGAGTGCAAATGGGACGGTCAGTCCGTCAGAGAGTCCAATCACGCTGTGTGTTTTACGGTATTAGCACGGTAGATGAAATACGCTAAGCATGACAATGCCGCAGTCAAACTTCCTCGCGACAAACGCAGCGCATGCTATTGGGCAAACGAAGACACGCTAGTGCAGATCATGGATGAGGGCATCCCCACACTGCGTATGCTGATCATTGTTGGTGGTATAGCGAGGTGTTGGCTCGTCCATTGTGACTTCTGCCTGGTGTGCTCGAACATCTGGACACTAAGGAGCGGAGGCCCGCAAGATCGAAGGTCCTCCGGTCATTTGTTCCATAGCCCAGCATGGAGGACAGCTCAGTCTTTACAAGCACCAAGCAGGATCCTGCGGCAAAAGACATGATGAACGGATGGCTACTCACACGTCGCGAACAACGTCAGGGTTGATCAAGGTACGCTCGTCGTCGCCCCTGAGCTCCTTGCAACACACTCCAGAGCGTGTAGGTTCATGGCGATCGCATTTTGCGGGGAGTGGGGCGGGTTGGGGGCAGGCGGACTGGTTGATTGACCAGACGGGGGGCTTGTTCGTCGTCAGAGCATCGGATCCTCTACGGTTGGGCAGGGGAACGGAGGGTGCTGAGGGAGACGGGTCTGACATCGCTGACCAGAAGAGAGAGCAAGGAGGTGGAGGAAGCGCGGAAGTGGACGCGAGTTTATGCCACATCTTGGAGCTCCGGCACGGGCTTGAGAATCTGACGTAATCTCCCTTCTTATTGGTCGCCGGGTCTGTAACGGCCTATTTCAGTCGACATATTTCAGTCGACACCACACCTGCGGCAATAGTATCAGCCTGCACGGGGCCCCTAGAAGACTTCATATACCCTCGAGATATCAGCGCGTCGTGTTTGCATGAATGGAGAAGACCAGGAAGGACGACGGAGCTCTAGGAAAACTTCGGTCAAGTGTGCAAGGGGCGAAAGAGAGTATACTATCAACATCGCTGAGACTCACAGCCTCCGAGTCAGGTTCATGCAGAGTCAATGCTCGTTAAGTTCTGGCATTGATCTCGCCAAAGCCGATCCACATCTAGCCAGCCACTGAGATCTCATGCGATAGACAGATATGAACTATTCTCTCGGATCTTGAGGTCTTGACCGGTCTTAATCCTAGAGACGACGCACCGAGCCTATGAATAGCGATAGAAACCGCACATGCTGCAGATTGTCGGCTTCGCACTTCTCAATCTTCCTTCCGCGGTGTGCACACGAGTGCAGTGGATCTTCCGTGCTCCGGCACTACTCCGAAATGGCTGAGGGCGCAGCCTAAGGATTCCAGGAACGCAGAATGAGGGTTGAATGAAAGGCTGGCAAGCCACTGCCAGCAGTGAGCAGCTGCCAACCTAGATCATGATGAGCTCGAGTGCACATGACGAAGAGTAGTATACCAAACCATAAACCATGAGCCATATCAGTACAATTGGCAGGGTAGTCACCATCGGGCACTTGGCACAGTGGTAGCGCGCACGCTTCGCATTTCGGGGGCTCCAACCCCGGTCATATGACTTGCGTGAGGTCCAGGGTTCAATCCCCTGAGTGTCCATTTTAAACAATTTTCTTCTCACGTCGTTCATTTTAGGTATGTTCTGTCACGGTACTCTCTCTCCGATCACCACCATCCCCCATTGTCTAACATCATCTGAGTCCCTGACTCCCTGTTTTGGTATTCTGGCTGCCGAGCTGGGGTCTACTTTGTCGACTCGGTGTAGAGAACGTGCGGTGCGCCGATCTCGAATACCGGTTTCTGATGTGGATGTGTTTCGTCAAGTCTTGACCAACTTCGTCATGTCCACCATGGAGGGTCAGACTCCTCTGTCCAACACGCCTTCTACCTCATCCGCGGCAATGGGATCTGCAACCACGAACACTGTTCCCTCTGGATTGAAGAAAATATCCCCGTACTGGTACCCTTACACGACGATGGCGAAGGGCCGATGGCTTGGCCGAGAAATCCTGGAAGTTGTATCCACCGAGTTCAGAGACCGGTCAATGGAGTTCTACGTATGTCTCTTCTCATCCATCTTTGTGTCTGCCTACCAATGTTGCATGCGCGGTTTGTGTGTGCATAGTAGAGGACAAGCAATGCATTCCTTCCCATTTGCCGTAGCCTGCTGCCCACGCCAACCGTCAGTGCTGCATTGGGAGACAGTCCACAAGCATCGCGTTGCAGCATATTGACGGACGACGTAGAGGTATGCTCTTGAGTCCGGTGTTACTACAATCAACGGGAAAGTCGCGAAGCCCGACACAATCGTTCGAAACGGCGACAGGATCGAGTGTGTATTATACCCCCACTACGTGAATCACTTGTTCAATCGCGTTTAATAGGAACGTCTCGCATCGCCATGAACCTCCGGTCACATCGACACCTGTCCGCATCGTTCTCCACGACAAGGAGCGTGACTTCATAGTCATTGACAAGCCCGGATCAATCGTGCGTCCTGCATGTTTTCGTTCCAGAGGTTCATTGACAATATCGCATATCAGCCAGTCCATGCTGCTGGACGATACTTTCGGAACAGTCTCGTCGAGATACTGAAGAACGACTTCGGCTTCGAGAAGGTGTACAGTGCGTCGCGATACACGAACGTTTCGAGATGATACTGACAGGGTTATGGAAGCTGTGAATCGTTTGGACAGGCTTACATCCGGGTTGATGATCCTCCCATTGAATCCTGCGCTGGCCACTACACTCTCACGAGAGTTCGTGAACGGAGAAGTCAGGAAGGAGTACGTCGCTCGGTGCAAGGGTGAATTCCCCGAGTACGTCTTACATGCAAGAGTCGTTGGGCAGAGGAGCTCAAACAACGTTCAGGGAGGAAATCGTTTGCGAAGAACCTCTATTGACTGTAGACAGGCAGATGGGACTGAACATCGTTCATCCCGAGGGCAAGGTTGGCTTGTTAATACAGAATGTGGTGTCGTTGCTCATTCGCTTTCAGCATGCAAAGACGATCTTCAATCGGGTACGATATGACGCCAATACCGACACTAGTGTGCTTCGCTGTGAGTAGCTTTGCGTACATGGTGGTCGCGGATGACACTAAATGTGTCTAATGTCTGCAGGCCGGCCTCTGACTGGCCGATGTACGTCGTCTGACCAGGTCAATGGAACACTCGTTAAGCTCATATTACGCGCATATAGCCCACCAAATCCGCGTACATCTGCAGTGCCTTGGATTTCCTATCGCGAATGATCCTATATACTCCGACGTTCGTATATGGGTAAGTGTCCTGCGCTGCCCTTGATACCCGAGGATACTCAGTCTGGTGCTTAGGGAGAGAAACTGGGAAAAGGCGGCGTCGACCTTGTTCCTAGCGAGGAGCGCGCTGCTCCACAGGCCCCAGCTCAGTTCCAGTTCGACGCTGCCACCAACCCGGAGGCCATTACACTTCGTTCTGAAGTCAACGCATCCTCAAAAGGAGACGACCGGCCCCAGGGAGTGAATGCAGAAGAGGCAACACGTCCGAAACTTTTGCCACGCGAGACTGGTCATGACATCGGCATGGGTTCTCCTGTTCCACTCTCCGCCGAAGCTGTTGGTATAATCACGCGTCTGCGGAATATGAAGGTATTTATAACCGACGTGCCTCTTGCGTGGTTATATGCTGACCGGGGGTAGGATGAGGCTGAAGATTGGGGCCGTTGGCGCGATGTGGTATTCCGCGCGAAGGCCGCGCTATCTCCCAAGGGGGTGACGATACCTCTCCCGCCGCAAAACAAGCGTAAACGTGGCGGACCAGCGTTCGCGCCACCACCAGACCCCGACCCTTCTTCCGCGATATCTGCAGAGGCAGTCGAAATGGAGCTCTCAACACAAGAGGTGCTTCCGAGGAATCAAATCACGGCCGAAGACGTCGCGAAGCTGGCCGCGCAGTCGTCTGTTGTACCCCTTCCCACACCACCCTCTGTGCCTCCTCTACCAGCTACATCCGAAACGCCTACGCCTGACCCGACACCTCTGCCAGTGGCAGAGTCGTCCGCGCCGGTGATGGCTGACTCCTTGTCTGACGAGAATGGGATGCATTACTGCCCAGAATGTTTCGTGCCGCTACACCCGGACCCGAAGCCGGAGTCTCTGTACATCTTCCTCCACGCGCTCAAGTATACGACGAGTCTTGGCAGCTTCGAGACTGGGATGCCGGAGTGGGCCGCAGAGGGATGGAAATGGGAGCGGTGACATCGGTGCAGGCTGATGTCTGGGGCCATAGGTAAGTGTGCTGCCTCCTCGTGTATGCGATGTCACTGATCACAGGTTCGCAGAATACGAACAGGTTTGAGGTACATCAGGTCTAAGATAAATTGTAGCTCTATGCGTCAAGACAGGGCATGAGTTACTGTCTACAATAACGTTCGCTGTTTGGCGGAGCGCATGTGTCTTGGGCTACCATCGTCCCGAAGGCTCATCAGGTTGCTTTCGGCCAGCGATTGCTGGCCAGACGCGCTGGTATAGAGACCCAGGTAGTCCGAGTTCTGTCTAATTCGCTTTACTCCGCGGTTTTCGGCCACGTAACAGACGGGGGTTAGAAAGAGAGGTAAGAGCCTAGCGACGATGGCGATGTCGGAGAGCGCCACCGCCCCGTAATGGGCCACTACGGAAAGGACCACGCGTTTGGTGAGGATAAGTAGTGCGGAGGGGAGGAGGCACGTCGTTCGGAGTTTCAGATTGTTATTCATCGCCGGTCTGGCGACGTTTTCGCACTGTCTGAGTGCAATGGGCCAATAAGTAGAATCATAGCCATTGCTGTTCAAGTTGCATACCTCTTTCAAGATTCAACTAGTGATCAAGAAGCAGAACCCTGCGTACGCGGCGGCAACACCGCATGGTTGGGTAGATTAGTGGGCTTTCGCTTCTTGTGAACATGATCGTTGCAAGTAAGCAGTGGACTCGTCTCATCAGATAGGTTGTCGTGGTTCATCGTGTGAGAAGGCGATGGTGGTAAGGAATGTACCGGAGTCCTCCCGGTCAGCTAACAGTGGTCGAATTTGTGGTAGTGAGTCGATATCGGGGGCTCCAACTTGCCAAAGTGAAAAACACGTCCGAGGTGCTAGGAATTCCAGGAGTGTTCAATTCTCTACTATGACTGCGACCTAGTGAAAACTCTATCACGCCTCTATCTTCGACACGTACAGTACAGTGTTTACGGATCTAGTTACTCATGGACTGATATTCGAGTACTTTCGTCTCGCTTAGCATACTTCTCAATAACGTACCATCACCATCCCCTTGTCCATAAGACAGTGTCGTACTCACTCTCGTTCTTGCTCTCGTCCGACTTCCTACTCTCGCCCTCGACTCTCGTCTTTCGCCGGACTCTCGACTTTCGACTTTCGACTCTCGATCGTAACGACCCATGATCGTCCATTGCGACCTTCGACATCGCCGCGCTCTCTCGCATCGTTCCTTCCCTCACCCACTCTCACTGCTCATCCCCATCTCTCTGACTCCCCTTGCGATCACTTCACCGGACCTTCGCACCTTTGACCGACGCACGCACAGCCGGAGCTGAAGTCATACTCATCACCGGGGATTGTATCTCGAGACACAATCTGTCCTAAGTTCAAGCCTCTTTCATTCCGATGAGTTTGCGCGTCGCGATAGTGCGCTCGGATACTCACCGCTATTTTTGTGCATCCCGCTTTAACGTCATTCGGACGAGACTCGCGACCCCTCCTTCTTGGGCCACATGTTACGGGGGAGTTGAGTTGACACCAGTGACATTGTGATGGTAATTGTGACCAGGATTGGATAAACTGCGTAGCCATCAAGCCAATTGCGCTCCAGCGACGTCGACGCGGCTGGTCCGATTGCCCGCGACAAGGAAGCGATGACTTGTGCAGCGCCGTTCACTGCGCCTAAGCAACGGGAATCTGAGGCAGAGGAAGTGACGAACATGAAACTGGCACCTGAAATGACGTACACGTGAGCCATTCTGATGCACTATACCTGACAGTTGGCCCTTACAGAAAGCCATCTCCGAGATGACGAGCAAGAGCATCTGCAAGGATACCAGGGCCCACACGACCGTCGTAATGCCGTGCGCCTTCGCATACAGGTTGATGATCGGGAAGAGGGCGTACATAAGTGGAAACATCGCTAACCCGACTTGGAAGACGCCTTTTGGACCCCAAGAGTCGATCGCCTTGGACAAGAACAGCGCCTGGAGGACGCCATTCGTTAAGCCCAGTGTCCCTAGGATGATGCCGATCGTCGATGGGGAGAGCCCGAGTCCTCCGAGCGCGATAGGCGTGGCGAGGAAGAGGGGAACGAGGGCGAAGAAGGCAATGTCAGAGAAAGCGAGTGCGCCATAGTTCGCAATGGACAGCAGCACAGGTCTCGTGAAGATTGATCGTAAGGACGGAGGTGCGTCATCTTGTGCGTCGGTCCCAGGTTCCTGCCCGAACGATGCGGAGCTGGGCCGGTGTCGCTGCACAGTCTGGATACATGGATCAACTCATTGCATTGGCACCGCGAGAGTGGGTCCACTCACCTCCTTCATGAAGAGCGCTGTGATTGTGAAACTGAAGACAGAGTACGCCGC